GTGATTATCTATGCCAAGGGGGCAGTTCATCTTCTTGAATACTTCCAACATTAAAGGCAATACTGACTCCAGCGATTGTTTCCCACTGAGTAGGTTGGACGATGGAAACCATAACTTATTTCCATATTCATAACAGGTGGCTTCTTCCAACTATGATTTAGTAAATGATTAATCTAGAAGCCTAGTCAGGATTGTATGTGGAGGTTCGCTTTGGCTGTAATCAGAATCTTGGCGGTTGCGGGTTCCATTCTAACATACCTTTAATGTGAAGCTAGAAAATGGATGTAGCTGTTCTGACCATTGCTAAATGATTATCATCCACTCTTGTTCAATGATAAATATTCTCTTGTTCCCATCTACAAGGGAAGACTACCTTTAGTGCTTTTCAAACATTGACCTTCTAGATATCGTTGACCAGAAAACATCCTTGTTGAGAGGCTACGAGAATCCTGCCAGAGTCATTTAAAGCATAGCCAATCTGTAAAGAACTCCTTCCAGTTGATGAGGACGAATTCCGTGTCCACTTTTGCCTGACAGCAAAAATAAAGAGGAAACTACAGATATTTGTTCGGTACAATGAATTGGTGTACAAATTGCAACTGTTGCTTTTCACCCAAATACTAGTTCCAACCGCGTAACTGGTTACAGGTGAAACATAATCCTAGTAATAGTATAACCTCGATAACGTTCCCGTTGCATAATGCGAAGGACGTCTGGACTACCGGATACTTATCCATCACAAACATAACCTAGAAATCAGCTGATCGGTGTCTGGTTTCGGAGATTGCGCCCTTGCCGCCAGCAAAACGTATGACCGTCTTTCGATTAAAATTAGAGTACGTTTCCAAATGTCAAGTACGTTAAGTCATTATGTAAAAATTTATGTTAATTGTTATTGGCCAATAATTTCAATTGAGTTGATGGAGTTTTTGTAATAAGTACTGTCTGCAAGTTCAGATTGCATGGTTTGGCGTCGAATTAGCTTATGCTGCATTTTCCATTATTATCCACTGTATGGTTTTTGTATTTTATTTTACATCATGAAATGAGCACTAACCTATAATGAACTGTCAATTTGTTTTTAGGACGGATTTAGGATGGTTTTCTGTCCAACCTTCTCATTTTGATGTATTAGGCTCTTCCTTGGAACAGTTTTACACATTTCTTCAGGCTATTTTTAATAGGCATAGAGTATTGCTACACCTATCATCACATAGCAAAATGCATTAATGATTAATGGGATTTGAACCCAGAAACTCGGGGACCAAATATCACAAGCAATATATCATCTTGCTCCTCCCTTGGAATTTCGTTAGTGTTCTATTGAATTTTAATTTATAACAGAGTATGGCGAAGGATGATTCTCAAGGTTTAAACAAAATATCGTAAAAGGTTATATTGTGGCAATACAATCTATGGCACAGATTGTGGCAAAGTTTTAAGCCAATTCAAAAACAGTAATACTCTAATGTACACTTTATACCCTACCCTTAAAACAGCTTGATTTCTTTATAAATTTTTGTATTTTTAAAATTTACTTAATGGAAATTTGTTTTTCATAGGTATTACGATACTTGGGAGCTGTTGTTTATTGAAACGTTAATTTTAAGCTGCGACATCGTGCTAATAGAGACCAACAATTAATCAAACAAACCAAATGATTCATAGTGGATAAGAATACATGTGGTTACAGATTATACAAAAATGCGCAAACGTTATTAAAATCTTGCCAATTACAATAATTAATCATACAAGTATAATAAGTCTTTATTCAGTTCATAGTAAATTAGTCTACAGTCAAATATCTTCTAAACAACCAGTTGTCTATCAATATCTTAAAATAATTTCTAAAATACATGTTAAGTTACAAAATATGTATCTAATGTCAGCACACTCTACGTTTTCCAGCCACATGAACTAAATGTTGAATGGGATCAATGGAAGATGATCAAGTCCTATTTTGAACAATGAACTTAATATATACTGCCCTGTTTACATAATATTTTAAATGTCCAATGAAGGTATTACGTTATAAACACCTAACTCACAACTAAGGAATAATGCTACAAAGCTGCAGGTATTATGTAACTGTTCTAGGAAATTGCTCTGGGTGGCCAAGCTTTGCTTGTGACACTTAGATTGATAACCTAAACTACATAATCTTTTTCCGTTAGTCCCTTTCTAATAAATCATAACTTACTAGTTATTATGGTATAAATAAATTTAAATTGTTTCTTTGTTTTGTCTCTGAAGATGATGTCGGTTCAAAGATCCTAAAATATCTCGTGTAACGAACTCTAAAAACTAAAAAGTCTCTGTTTTTGATTTTTTTTGCACGTTTGTATTATGATTGGACTGCTATCCAGTGCATATATTTGACTGCTATTCTCTGTAGTGTATTCCAACCTAGGTTGGGCTTTTGTGTATTGTTAGTTGTAATGTGTTAGTTAGGTTTTTCACCTGAGGACGGGATCAGATTCCAGATCCCGAAACGTTGTGTATTGTTTTTTTTTACCATTGTGATGGACAATGTCCAGAATATCCCTTTGAACAATACTTAACATTACCATCAGTGAACTTACTTTTTAATTCAATCCGTTTCAACAAATGTAATGATAGTACTATCAATAATAATATAAAACACCATTCACGATTTATAGTAACCGATTTGTTCTGAAAAAACCAGCCAAACCATTTTCGGCCAGCCGATTACCATTTAAGGAAACTGTTGAGGTGTCAGTTCGAAAGTTGGTGTATTTTTCAAAGTTGCAAAACCCCCGTCAAGTATCCCTGCCACATCCATCATGTTACTACAAGACAGCTAATATATTCCTTTGCCCAACCACAAAGTTTGCAGAACACTGACAGCGGGTAGTTTTTATAAGGATGTGAAATATATGTTCCTAAATTTGTTATCAGAACAAGCTTTCTTTTCTGAGTTCCTACCTAGCACCTTTGACTATCCAATAGTCAATGCTAGCACTATCATGAAATTTGGTACATGCTGGTACTATATGATTTTTAATTTTAGAAATTGTAATTTTTAATTATTGTTTTTCCAAAATAACGGAATAATCTAATTTTACAAAAAGTTTAGTATTTCGTGTTTTTGGCCCTTTAACTCTAACAAAAATTGTACAACCCCAATTCTGTGACAATTGAAAGTTATTGCAAGTTTTTTTTATTTTACCAATAAATGCTATAATTACTCCTATCACTTGCCCATAATAAGGGATTTTGTCAAGCTAATGGTAGAAATGTGTCAGTTTGCTGATACCGTTTATTTTATTGTGTAATATTCTTGTAAAATAAAAGTAAACCTTCTAAAAAACATTCTTCATACTTCAGATCCCCTTATTTTCTTTGCCGTCTCACGTAACAGTTATACGTTTCTAAAAGGGTTATCAGCGGATATCTCACACCAAACCTTCCCTCAGCAAAGTTCGGCCACCTTGTGTTTAGCCACTTTGCGCATATGCATATTCATTGTGCGCATGCGTGCTCGTGCCGGGCTATTGTTGGTCATATTTGAATGTGAATGGTTTGCTCGTGCTGTATTTGACTGAGTGTTGCCACGGAAATAAAGTGGGGGCAGGTTGGAATTGCATCACAATCCTCTGGAGAAAATAGCCAAAAGACAACAAAACGAAAATGTGTGCAAACCGTTAGAAGTAAAATCTGTTATTTTAGTCTTTTTTTTTATTTCAGCGCTAGTGGAATGTATTCCAGGACAGGAAATGTACGGTGTACTCAAATAACGCTTTAGGCAACCCATTTTACGTGTTGTGGATGTTTGCCGGGAATCGAACATGTCTCCCCTCACCGAAGCCCGAGAGGCTAACCAGTAACCACTAGACTAGTAACACACCTTATTATATGGTTTATCTAACTTGTATTAAAAGGTTTGTATACGCGTAAAAAATAAGCCGAATAGTGGTTATAATGCGTGACAAGCAAATAATATGTTTTAAAAAAACTACCTATAATGGATGGTGGTTCTAATGACTGGTGACTTAGATGTGAGTAAACCTACCCGGTCTTGGGGAAAAAGTAAATGTAAAATGTGTTTGCCTTTAGATGGATCTATTACGTCATAAGTAATACATTTTATAGTCTGTATTATGGAATCTGTCTTCTGGCCATCCGATCTACGGGAGGACTGGCCAATGGTTTTAGGCCCGAGTTAGGTTTAGCATATATGAAAGGAGTAGACACTCTACGTCATTAATCTATGGTTTTAGCTAGACGGTCATGGTTCTAGTCAGACTATAATTGTATAAGACGTAATCATAAAAGGTAGTGGAGATTAAAGTAGTCCTCGCATCAAAAATATTGATTAAATTTCAATAGCATTTTCATACAAATGTTAATTAATGGTAATATTGAGCCCACTGATAGTTCCAATATAAAAAGTTAGTTTATATGTTTTGTTTAGCTAGGTACAATAAATTCTATGAAAAATTTTAGAACAATATAAACATTTATGTTACGAATAAAAAATACAACAGAATAGTTAACTAAATTGTATATTAATTTTCAAAACGTGGCAAAGTTTAAAAGTCACGACGGTGGTATTAAACACTAATTTCTAAGTTTAGCCGATTATTTATCATAATATGACATGAACTAATTTAATATCAAGAAACATAAGCTACTTAAAAGATTTACAACCTATTAATTTCATTAAACATCTTGTTACTCTGAAAATCATACAATTCCAGTATTACGCTTTGCAGGAATATCGTAGCAGTTTTACCGGTTTCTTATTTGTGCATTTGTCCATAAATATCCTATCTCATTCATGGTGAAATAAACATCTGTAAAATATCCAAACTATGGTAGTTCTTTAGATATAACCATTGACTATAGTCAAAGATATAATAACCCTAAGAGTCCACAACAGCTACTTGACAAATGTATACATGACCAAAGATTAATAAACTTTAAAAAAAAATCATTACAGTGAAAAAAAAATATATAAACCAACGTAAAACACTTACCATTCTATCCCCTTGTATCACAAAACCACTGACTATGCCCGTAAGGTAGTGTTTTCGCACATGGAACAAGTTTCTAATGCAGGTCTGGGGACTTGAACGAACGGTAGTACTGAAGAACTGAACAGAAAACTTAGCTTAACTCCCGTGCCACCACTTGTAAAAACTAAAATTCTATGTAATAGACCAGTAACCGTAGACAATATTTAAATACTAAACGTTATATCGTATTTAAGCACACATAACCTATTTCATATTTTTAACTAAATGAAAAGATGCTTGATGATTGATAATTTTAACTATGCTGTTAAATTAAAGACAGTGTTTCAATACGCAAACTTAAGTGCGAGAACCAACTATCAAATTTTTTTTATGAAATAAATTTACACCCCAACAAATTTTAACCCACATAACCCAATTACTGTGTTTGTATAACAAGTGGAAACAGTTTTCCCCCAAAAATTAATTCAAAAATGCAATTTTCTTAGCAGTTTTCCCAAGTGGTGGCAAGAGACCCTACCGAGAGCGAGAGTGCGCGAAGTGCGAGCGGCGCGCGGGGACACCAGAGCACTAGTGAAAGTGTTTCAGACTCTAGTCCAGTTTTATCAACCTTGTATGATACAGCCTGCTCGCCGCACCGCCAAGGGTCCTTCTTTGTCCTCGTCATTTGGACACCATCCTTTGTTTTTTAGCAGTCGTTTTATTTATTTGAAGTTCATTGTTGGTGATGGTGAGTTAATGTTGTTCAAAGGTTTATTGCGGACATTTTCCATCACGAATGTAAAAAAAAAAAAAAAAAAAAAAAAAAAAAAAAAACAATACACAACGTTTCGGGATCTGGAATCTGATCCCGTCTTCAGGTGAAAAAAACTTAACTAACATCGGAGTCTCATTGGTGGAGTCATTGCGTACAGTGCTTTTAGTGTTCCATTGTGTTAGTTTTTTACGTTAAACCTTTTATAGATTATAGTGTTTTGTGATTTGTTATTAATTGCATGTTGTATCATGACTTGACTGCTATACAGTGCATATTTTTTGACTACTACCCTCTGTAGTGTATTCCAACTTAGGTTGGGCGTTTGTGTATTGTTAGTTGTAATGTGTTAGTTAAGTTTTTTCACCTGAAGACGGGATCAGATTCCAGATCCCGAAACGTTGTGTATTGTTTTTTTTTACATTCGTGATGGAAAATGTCCGCAATAAACCTTTGAACAACGTTTTATTTAACTGTTTAATACATTTTTTTAGTTTTTATTTTACAAGATTTGGGATTTTTTGTTTGTTTTGGCAGTTGCAGTTTAGTGGTTTGATTTTTATAGTCTATGAATTCGCCCAAAAGTTCTTAGTTAATTATTATTTTTTTATCATGATTTATTTAATTATCATAATTTACATTAACTGCTTTGTGGTTTTTACTGTTTGCTGTTGTCGTGATGAGATATACGTATTTGGCTGACTTTCCTTGTATTTTGCTGTAGCGGTTTTGGTTTTTGTTCCTTTATTTGAGTTTTGATTGTTTCTCCGGTAAATTTTACATATACAATCTGTAATTTTCGAATATATTTGAATTTTTTTTACATCTATCTACCAGTTACCTGCTCTTGTATTTAGGTCTCTTGTTTGTTTTATTTTTAGTTTTCGACTAAATGTTATATATTTAAACATGTATTTGCATTATGCAATCTATATTGAGTTATTCTGAAAATTTTATGGTGAATCGTGGCTAGATGACTGCTTAGTAGATACAAAACTACCAAATATAAAATAGTTTTTTTTCAAACCTAAGCTTGGAAACCATTCAGTGCTACAGCCAAACCGAGAAATACCCTCTGAAACCCAAACTTATCCACGACTCATCCAAGTAATATTTAAAACAACCAATCAACAATATACCATCTTAGGAATAATATTGGCAACTCAGTATTATTTTAAAACTTCTGAACCCGTAATACCGTCTTAGACACTTGCTCGGCAATCATGTAATGTTATAAAACAGCTAGACCACCGGGAACAAACGAATGTAATCGACTTTCGACCTATTAAATCAAATCACTCTCTCCATTGACTATGGTTTATGTTGACACTCTTATGTTAATCGTAATTAGCGGGTATATTTGGCGCGCGTGGTTGGCAATACAATTGATGGTGTTATTCGTTTTGCGTGGTTGGCAATTGACACTTCAAGATTAACAATGAGTGTTCACAATGTATTAACATTTATAAAGCCCTCAATGAATTTGATGTATTGATCGTTCATAAATTTAAAATTAAACATAGGTGTTACAGTTATGTGGTTACGTTTTTAAAATTGCCCGATGATGTTTGGACCTTAGTGAAATTTGAACGTGTTTTCTTTACTTCGTAAAATTGGTAATGTATTTCACCAAGGCCTTAGTTGGTTGATAGGTGGATAAAAGACAAATCACAACAAAAATACAACATGTAGAAAATTCGAGTTTAAAAAGCGAAAATAAAATGTAACCATATTACATTTTAAAACATGGTTTCATGATGAACATGATTTCGCTCTGTTCATTTTATATTTTAACTAAACAGGCTACATTGTTCTTTATTTTCAATTTGTAGCTTTTACAACGATTTTGTTTAAGAAATCATAAACATATAAATTAAACCCAAGCCAATAAATTAGGCTTTTATTTCATTACTCGTATTCAGTTTCTTTTCATAATTGTGTAGTTACTTAATTTCTTTTTTAAATCCTATTTGGTTCTATATTCTACAAACATTTCTTTTCGGGCAAACCTGTATAAATTGCATTGTTATCATTGATGCATTATAACTACTTTGTAAATCTAACACTTGGAGAAGATATACGAATTGTTCGAGCCTTGTGTGATCCAAAATACAGTCAAAGAACAAAATTTAAATAATATTTCTTGCAAGTATATTGTAAGACAAAAATTTTAAAACCAAACAAAAGCTGAAGGAGTTAAGTAATATTATAACTTAGAACGCCTTCGTTAATGTTGCAAGACTTGGCAGAATCGAACATGTTCGTAAACTATTGTAACATTTTTTTTTACATATAAGTGAGGTTGGATTATGTGTTTTGTTCATTATTGGTGGGGTGGGCTGTTGGGGTTTGTACGGGTTGTTGTGGACCAATTAATTTATTTATAATTCATACATTATTTACAAAGAACAGAATGTTAAACAATAAAGAAACAATTAGATGTATATATACATCAATGGTCCTATTTCCTAAATACCTAATCCACCTTGTTTGAAGAAATCAGTTAGTACGTTACGAATGGTACAACCCTCAATGCTGTAAAAATTGCGGTTCAAAAATATTGCAATGTTTGTGATTTTACCCATAAAATATTTTAGTTACCTTCACCAATCACCCACATAAGGTGGTTTTATAAGCTTTAAGAGAAAGTATGTGACAGTCAATTTGCTGATACCGTTTGCTCAGAACTAATATGTGACTGACCATTTGACGCATTAACCAGTTTAACAGTACCACAAATTACAGTAGAGTGAAGCAAGCCACCCAAAAGCGTATTAGCTTTACTAAGTGTCAGCATTGACTTTACAAAGGGCAAGAATTTGGCTTTACCAAGCGCCAGGATTGGCTCTACTAAGGGACATTATTATTATCTTTACCAAGCGTCAGTATTGGCTTTCCTAAGGGCCAGTATTGGCTTTCCTAAGGGTCAGTATTGGCTTTCCTAAGGGCCAGTATTGGCTTTACAAAGGGCCAGTATTTGGCTTTACCAAGCGTCAGCATTCGCTTTTCTAAGGGCAAGTATTGGCTTTACTTGGGGTCAAACCGATGACATACGAAGCAGACCTGAACCGCTTCCTAATGTTCTCATAGTTCCAGAACCACTTCCTCTTGTGCAGTTGCCTCCCACACACCATGTCTGCTCCACCTACAGCATGACACAATAGACAATTGTGTCACCAGCCGTTATCCCAGAGGTTGACCACATTACGGTGTTGATTGACCTTGACTACGTCACTCTTACGCATATGTCAAGCAAACTATAGTTTGGAACTGAGCATAACTAATTTTAGTTTAGAACTACTTCGTGAGTTTTTCCAAATTGAGGTAAATAGTTTAGTTCTCAATTCAGTTGGGTAGTTAAAATCAGGTAATTTTATCCGCCAATTTGATTAAAACATATTTTCTTATCCAATAAAAATGGAATATACCTAGTCCATGATGGGAAGTGTATTTCGGGTTTCTAAGTCATCGATAGTAGCAATCTATAATTTTATCCATTGTGTATTCGTTTTTCGAAACTGGATTCAGCTAACCATCTCATCATTGGGCTTTAAATAAATTATCCTGGATAAAAGAAACCTGTGGTTGTAGTAAGTAATAACCACGATGCAAAACTCCTGCAGACTAGAAATCCCACTAAGAAATCCAACTAAGAAATAGTTCGATTTCCACATAAATGTGTCCTTAAAATGGTAAGATGATTTAAATGTCAAGTTCGATTAGTACTAAGATTTGCAGTAACAGGTAAGATAATAAAAAATCCCAAATTAAACCAATACTATTTAATTTTATTGATTTTTAACTAAGTTTTATTTTATTCTTTGCCTGCTACATTTGTGGGCATTCTAAAGAACGCCTAGGTATTGCACACAATACCCTGGGCAATGTTTATAAAATCCTATCGTTACTACTCCATTTCATACTTTGATTAAAAACTTCAGGCATTGTATGAAATGCTAGCATTAAGCCTATAATATGCCGGTAACATATATAGAATGTCTATTGTCTATTAAAGTGTATACGGTAGCAAAGCAATCCACACACCCTAGATGAAGGAAGACAGCACCTTCACTATCTTGTTTTAACGTCATGCCTCTTGCTATAAGACAATAGGGATCTGATCTTGTTTACGGTTCTCTCTTCAGGAAATCCGTGGAAGTTTTGATCTTCTTCCTCATCTTCCTGTAGACTCATTTAATTCTTTATGCTGAACGGGTCTTCCTACTTCATGGTAAGAAATGGATTTCGGGTGCAAAAGTCACAGATTATATAATTAAATATTGTGCAGAAATTGATAACAATATTTTTTTAAAGGAGTAACATTGTGGAAGCTACAATATGTCAATATTTTAAGTGACCCTGCAATTTGCAATGGGTCTTCTCGCTGTAATTATTATTTCAAAATCTAATTAATTTAATATTACTTAGCCACTAAGGTGCCTTTTACTAATAATCTTACTAATATTATAAATGTAAAAGTTTGTGTGTTTGTTTGAAGTTCAATCACGCATTTTTGGACGGATTTGGCTGAAATTTGGCATGATGATAGCTCACATTCCCGATTAACTTATAGGCATATTCTTATCTAAAAAATCCTTTCGGGCTCCGCCCCACTGGCTCTAGAGTTTCCCATGTTAACCTTATGAGTACTCATATTGAAATGGAATTAAAGACTTTAGTCAGTTGTTTCAATCGAAAAGGTTGGTTCTATGATATGCAAAAGCATTACAAGTTATAAGATTTACCAACAGGGTGCAGCACTATTATTTTTTTTTCATTTATGAAAACAGCTAATTTGAATTAAGCAGCAACAAA